TAAACAGATAGGAATCTATTTTTCTCATGCACCAGGAAATCTAGAGGCAGACAGTCTAGAGATAAATAACATCTCGATGGTGCCATCAGGGATGTGAGTTCTTTTTAGATTTCTGCCTCTTTTGTTCTTTGAACATGGTCCTTTATCTTGATGACTTCTGCCCCTCTAGGCCTCATGTCTGACATTCAGACAGTAGGAAGGGAGAGGGAGAAAAAAGCAGAGAGCTTATCCCTGGTGAGGCTTTGGCTTATTTAGAAAGAGAAGTCCTCCCCCAGGAACGTCTGCCTATAGACTAGTAGCCAGAACTACGTAACATCCCTGGCTGTCAGGGATATAAAGTCATATGTTTTGGCTTTCCCATGTCTCTAGGAGAGCAAATAGGATTTTTTGTGATAGGCTTTCGTGTAGGTACATAATACCTACTACATCCCCACTCCATGACGGTCTCAGGACTCATCCTCCACAGACTTCATCATAGCACGTCCCACCCATCAAACACCTAGCTAGTGCACTCCATCTGCACTAGTTAACCAGTAGCCGAGCCGGTTAACTCCATCTTTTCCCCCACCGTAACTAAAATCCATCACAGCTACGTCCCTCCAGGACATCTCTAGGCTTCATGACCCCTGGCAAGACAGCCTCAGACTGGGGCATGTAGTGCATCTATGGCAGGCCCCCTTTGAAGCACATCTAGATGCTCCCAGCCACAGTGGAGCCCATCTCAGTTCCCATGATTTGTATTAGTACATGTGTTATTTTAAAGAGAATTTAAAATGAAACTTTTTGCTGTTTCACATCTATTTGTATGCCTACTAATGGCAGCCCTTCCCAGCCACCCTCCCATCATGGAGGTGAATATACCAACCCCTTTTTCTAATCTAACAAATTCTGTAATGAGCATTTTTTAAAGAGATTGATTTATCTTTGTGAGCATCATGGTATATACTTTGGACATAGAAAACCTATCAGCCATTTTTTAAAAAATCAAAGTGACTAGAAGTAATATCTTGGTCAGAATAACAATCATATTTTATACTGCAGTGTACACACCCACATATGGCAGATTTCCTACCTTCACTATTCACCTAGTTCAACTGCCCATCTCCAGCAATTCCCTTTCCTTCAGCCCCAACAGCTCTGTTTCCTCAATATAATGGCAAAACCAAACATATTGGGGCATTCTACTAGCAGGAAACCTGGCTTCCCATCCACAAGTTCTACTGCAGAAAGCTATGCATACATCTCCCCCAATCTTCCTATTTTATCATTAATTGGGTTTTGACTTCCTACTACATTTTCTCCTGATGCTGTGACCAGTGTATTATGTGGCCTAGTTCTGGGGCAGTCTCATCAGGAGCTCTTAGACTCTCCCTCTTACCTGCAATGATTTGTCTTAGTTTTATACCAGTCCCTGCCAGCTTGGCTTACCAAGGTTGATACACTTCAGCCTCCAGCTCTGGCCTCCATTGTGATGGCAGCTCTCACATGACTTCAAAGAAGGCAACAAGCTTTTCCTCTAGATGCCCCACCCCCCCCACCCCCTGAAAAAAAACACCAGACCAGAAACTTTCTCCCTCAGTCTCTTCGCATTTGTTTCATTTGACAGCCTTTACTGATACCCGCCATGAACCAAGCACTCAGATGAGCACTGGAGAGAATAATAAACGAAATACAATTCCTGCCTTTAAGTTACTTCCAATATGGTAGGACAGACATGAGGATTGTAACATGACAGGAAGGGCTATCATGAGCACAGATACAGGGCCTGAGTGGTATGAAGCAAGGAGAGATTAGTTCTACCTAGGTAAGTAAAGGAGGATAGAAACAAAATTGAACTTAAAGATGAGTTGGGATTTTTTCAGACAGACAAAATGACATCACGGTAGGCAATGGATTTAAACAGAAGGCAGCCTTCTATCGTGGATTTTGTGTACTTGGAGAATTCAGTGATACCACTTGACCTATGAGAGGAATATCCATTTGATCTGTAACGTCAGCCCTCACTCAGCTATTTCAAACCGTGAGCCACTTACCGCATTAAGCAGATTGCAGAAGATGATGGTGGTAAATAAAATAGAATATTAGACTCCTCGGTGAATATTTTTAGCACCTGTATCTTGATTTGTAATAAAACAAAAGTAAACAACATTCTTCTAGACCATTCTCTTTCCTTCATGTTTTTGTTTCCATTACTCTTGCTACTAGATATTTTCTTCACTGTGGTGCTTGAAACTCTGAATTCTGCCGGGTTTCCAGGAATGCTGTTGACGGTCATTGCCAAGAAAAATGTGTTTTCCCCTTAGGAAATTACACTTCTATTTGGTATTATTATTTCTGACCACTGTGTTGTGTTATGAGCATTTCTGAGGAATGAAAAAGATGGCTTCCTTCAGGCAGTTACTGGAAAGGCAACTGGTATTCTACTTTCTATTTTTAAGTATGCTTAGATGAGAAATTATCAGCGCCCCACCCCCTCTGCCCCCAAAAAAGAGTAGGCATAAAGGTAGGGTTAGGTACATTCATGATGAAAAATTTACTTTTTAGAAAAGTGATTCCATCTACGGCCATGCCACCCCGAACACGCCTGATCTTATCTGATTTTGGAAGCTGAGCAGTGTCGGGCCTGGTTAATACTCGGATGGGAGACCACCTAGGAAGACCAGGTGTTGTAAGCTAAAAAAAAAAAAAAAAATGGAAATGTGATTCCTTGCAAGTTATTTGAATTCTTTAACTTTTTCTAATTAAGCAATGACACTACATAAATGTTTACCTCCATGAATTAGCATAAAGCAAACTCACCCAACCCAAGAATTATCACCACCTGGATCTTGGAAGCCTCCCTTGTGCCCCTGCATATCCAGAAATCACTTCTGAGCTCATTCAGGTTGCTGGCAGAATCCAGTTCATGTAGTTTTATAACGGAAGGCCTCATTTTCTTGCTGGCTGTCAGCTAAGAGTCCCTCTCAGTTTCTAGAGTTCACTCTCGGTTCCTTTCCACCTGAGCTCCATCTTCAAACCAGCAGTGGTGCATTTAATCCTTTGAGTGCTTTGAATCTCTGACTTCTTCTGCCACCAGCCAGAGCAAACTCAGATTTTGAAGGACTAGTGTGATTAGGTTAGGGCCTACCAGGACCATCTCCTTTTAAGTCATCTCCACGATGTAATATAACCCAGTCATGGGGGAAATAGGTCATCATACTCAGAGATTCTATCCACGCTCAAAAAGGAGGGGGTTATAGAAGGGCGATGAATATTTGTGTCATCTTAGAATTCTGCCTGCCACCGATCACCTGTTTTCTACTGTTCTAAAAGGCTACCTGTCCAAAATCAAACAGCCATGTGTAGTCATTTCTTGAAGAGTTTATATAGAATCAATATCATTCCTTAAACATTTAGTACAATAGATCAATGCAATCATCTTTCCCTGGCTTTTTCTTTGTGGAGAGTCTTTAAATTACAAATTTAATTCCTTTAATAGATATAAAACTATTTAGTGAATCTTTTTCTTTTCAAGTAAGCTTAAAATTTGTGTCTTTATGTGGACTTCATCCATCTCATATAAGTCGTTGAATTTCTTGGCATAAAGTTGCCCACAAAATTACCTGATGATTCTTTTGGCATATGTAGAATCTGTAGGGACGTCGCTTCTCTTTCCTGATGTTGGTAAAGTCTTAGGTCTTATGTCGTCTCACATTTTTATTTGTATAGCAATTCTAGTATCAGTTCTGTCTCTCTGTTTTAAAATTTGTCCAGAATGGTTCTAATCAGGTATAGTAAAGTGGCAGACACAGACAACAGCCTTTGCAATAAGAGTTTATTTCTTAGTTCCAAAGAGGAGGCACGGTAGGAGGAAGGCATGGGGAAAGCACAGGTATGCTAAGGGCCTGCCTTGTTTGGATGGGGAGATTATAGAGGCTGATTAGTTCCAGACAGCAATAGAAGGAAAAAAAAATGTAAGTTTTACACTTTAGGTACGGCTAACCACTCAAATAAAAATGGAATTTATGCTTTGAAACTATTATTGAAGAGAAATTTTTTAAAAAGTAGGGAAGGAAAACTCATCATTCACACTAAAAGGGATGGAAAGAAGAGTCAGAAATAACAAGAAAGCAAAGCATACACAAAACAAGATGACCAGAGACAAACCATCTGTCTTGAATGTCCTTGTATGTGAATATGTTTAGTCCTTTGATTTAAGAGAGAGAGAGATTTTCAAATGGCATTTTTAAAGAAGACTACTTATGCTTTCAAGTGACCAAAAAACAAAATGACAAAAGATTGAAAATAAAAGAAAGGAAAAATATAATGGGCAGATGATGACAAAAAAACGGTAACAACAGTATGTAATATCAATCAAAATTGAATTCAAGCAGCAAATATAAATGAACATTTTTATTATGCCAGTCCAGCAAAGCCACATAAATTCATGTTATCTGGATTTATTTCCCTTTCCTAGGTAGTCTGACATCTTGAAAATGAGGATGACTTTGTGCATTTCGCAGTGAGCATAATGAACTAACCTCACTAAAAACTCTTAAGATCCTTTTTTTAAATAAACACTTTTTTAGTTGTGTTCTTTTTAAAAAATTGCCAGGATAGTTTCACATTAGTAACTGCGTAAAGTTTCCCTGGTATACAGGATTTATCTGTAAAAATGTGTGTTTCTAATCCTTAAATCAAAAAATACATTGATCCAGTGCAGTCACACACGTCAGCTGCCAGGTATCTGACATTTGGTCGTTATAATGCTAAACGTTGCTTTGAGAAAGCCAGGTGAAGGTGAGTGGAGGGACTTTTGTAGGACACGCTCTTATTTCCAGAAATGATGCATGTTGCCTGACTCATGTGCCTGTCTTAGCCTCGCTGACATCTCACATCAATAGCACTGCCCAAAAAAGGGAGATGGGGAAGGTGTGGGGGCAGGAATTTACTATAATTAATTTGACAGTTGTGTTTGTTACGTATATTCTAAGTGTTTGACTTTTTTTGTTTGAATATAGTTAATATTGCCTATCTCGGTGGCCAAGAAATGATGGAGATAGTAAAGAGAGACAACGAAACCATAAAGGAACATTTGTCTAAGGTAATCACTGTAATACTGCAAGTAAGTAGAAATATTTTTTGAAAATGAAAGGCTAGAATTGGTTAGAATCTGTATAAACGGAAGAATTTGTAGCTTTGTTCTACTTCTAGTTAAAATTAATGCTATCCTTGAATGCTGCATAGAAAGTAAGTAAAGCTGATTGCATATTTACTTAAATATATTTACCACCTATTTGCGGGGAGGTTGTTTTTAAAATCAGTACTTCTCTCTAGGGCCTTGTACTTAGAAGTGCTCAATAATATTTATAGAAAAGATGAGTTAGATTAAAATATCAGTAGGACATTGGAAAAGAGCTAACATTACTATAACCCTGTGACTCAGTGAGCCTGTCTTTCTTATTCTCCAATGTATTAGAGTAGGAATGTCCAGCTCTGACACCAAGACCAGTTTTCTGTATATGCAACATGCAGAAAAACAAAGATTAAAATGTTTAGCATTTGTGAGTTTCTGCTACAAGTGCTAGAATCTTACACAAACACATTCGAAAGCACCAGTCCCTGCAACTCTGATGGGACCATGGTTTAGAATGTGTCTAAGCACCCTAGAATTTAGGTGGCTCTTGTATTCCCATGGCACCATTTGTCTGTCTGTCCATCTTGAATAGGATAGAGCTGCACGTCCATCCACATGTGGTTCTTTGATGTTAGTCTGAATTGAGATGTGCTATAAGTATACAATATTCTTTGAATTTCAGAAATTTAGTACCCCACTCCCCAAAAAAGTAAAATGTTTCATTAATATTTTTGTATTGGTTGCATGTTGAAATGACAATATTTTAGATATATTGGGTTAAGTAAAATATATTGTTAAAAATAATTTCATCCATTTCTTTATACTTTTTTTAATGTAGCTCCTAGAAGATTTTAAATTATATATGTACCTTTATATTCCTGTTGGACTGTGCAAACCTAGAACTTTACAGTTAGTGCTGAACTGTAACATCTGCTAGGTGCAGTGAAATGAGCCTGCTGTGTGGCCAGTTCTCACGGGGCCCGGGACCTATAATCCGCAAGTAAAATCCTCCTGGGTTTAGAATCTCTTCATAAACTTTGAGACATTCGACTTAGACTTGCCTACAATGTGTTAATTAGAGATATATTAGAGATATGTTAATTCATATCTCTATAACCTCTGAATACAATTATCTTAAAACAAGAACTATGTTCTTAAAAATGTATGTATTTTCAGAATATCGATCTGTAGTAGCATTACCCAGAGAGGACTTTTGAAAATGCCAATCTGTGTTTGTAGCCATAATGGTCATCATATTTCTCACGTAGCAGTTAGCTAGAGGTTGACATTTTGGATCCAGGAGGAAACTCTCACTAGCTGAGTTGCAGTGGGGGAGGGGGGGGCGGGGGGGGGCCGGTCTAAGGACCATCTCTCCAGGGCTTTCAACTGTTTCCAGTCATTGAAGGATGTGAAAATACAAGAAAAACAGTATTTTATATTTCAGTTAAATTGCAAGTGAATTTGTTTCAAAAATGCATTTAAGTTCTCAAGGCTAGAAGTTCATAAAAACAGCTCAACTCCCAGTTAATAATAAGACTGGCAGATGCTCACTTCCAAAACTCACACTTGCTGACCGACTAGACCCATCATGTGTCCAAGCCCATCCTACCACCTGTGGAAGCCAGCTGCTGTGAAATACTCATCATTCCTGAATTCTGTTTGTATTCTGCTCAGAAAGAGGTCAAAGGAAGGTGCTAACTTATTCCTGTCCTAAGTTAAATCCATATGCAAGCATAATCATTCCCAGATAGAGGTCTGCTCATGGTAATTGAACGTCAGGACTGTAAGTTTACTGAAACTTTTATGGGAGAAACATGGGGATAGAATGGTAGATGGCAGACATTTCAAGGTTAATATTTTAACAGTCAGAGGAATAAACTTTTCCAACTACAGGGAATGGATTTGTTTTGTTTTTAAGACAGCATTAAATATTTGTGGAATTTGGGAAAGCAAGATATCGTTTCGTTTAATGATGCAAAACTACCTTGCAATTAATCGATTATGCTTTCTACCAGCAAAGTTTGAGCGCTGCAGTAGTGTAATGCAATTCCAATTCCTAAGTGAAATGAGGTACAGACAGGAAGTTTATTGCAACTTTTTATTTCTGTAATGAAAAAAGAGGAAATATGCTGTAATTTAATATTGGGGAAAGTTGAATCAACATATGTCCCCATCTGCTTGGGGAAATAAGGAAACTCAAAAGGGCACGTAGTTCTAGGAAGATGGTGGCCATTGCCTCCTGCCTTCCAACAACCCTGATAATTAGTCAGACCTGAAAACCACTTCCCAAGACGAGGCAGATCCCTATTTGAGATATTGCAGTCAAGGATACTCTGTCCCACTTCAGCCCAAACATAGGCATTCAGAAACTTCATACCTATCCAGGACTGTCCAGTGTGAAGACATTTTGAGCCATACATTTTGTTGTAAAAATCATTCACTATATCTCAGTTATTCAACTTTTAAAACAGGTCTGAAAAATGTGTCTTTGTGCCATCCAGCTAGAAAACCACACGAAAATTAGTCTAAAAATAGTCCCCCTACTGTATCATGTGGATGGTTTTTCCTTCCTTCCTTCCTTCCTTCCTTCCTTCCTTCCTTCCTTCCTTCCTTCCTTCCTTC